GGAAGCGGGTATCATGCACAAGAAGTGGATGGGCAGAATGAGGCAGATGTGTCTCCTTCAACAGTTTCTCTGATCAGCACCATGGGGATCACCCTTTCTTTGAGGAGCACTGCTTTCCATGTACCTGCCACCAGCTGCTAAAGAGCTACCATTTCCCATTGTGAAACAATAGTAGCTCTGAGGCTAAACCAGTAAGTAGGAGCCAACATACACTTTTTGAGCAAGAACATGGTCCAAAGTCTTTTTCTTTTCCTTCAGGCCCAACTTCTATTCACATGGACATGCTGTTCCTATTGCCGGCTGCTACCTCTTGGCCATCACTATTTCATTGTATACTTCTGCATGCACGTCTAATTCTTGTGCTCATCATGCCATGATGGCTGAGTTGCTTAAGACTAATTGCAGCCTGTAAAGGGTTCCTGTTAACTCAGTGAGAACAAGCTACAGAAAATAAAAGCTATACTTGTTACTATTAACTTCAGCATCCCTCACCTTAAATGGTCCTAAACCAGAGGTTTCAAATAAATCGTCTCTGATTGATTGCCAACGCAGTTCTTCACAGGAGCAGGAGATGAGAGCATCTCTTCACACCTGCGTGCACACTGCTAACTGACATTTGATTTTGTTTGTCCTGCAGGGAAAATAGGAGTCAATGCAGAATGGCTGGTGACTGTTTTCTCTGCAGCCCTGAAGAGCAGCACGTGGCAGAGCCTGCCTCCCCAGAAAGGCACTGAAATTACTCAATGACCTCTGTTTCCCTGAATGCTGACCCATCTATGCAGAGCACAAAAGTTCCTGCCCACGGTTTGTGTGCAGGAGTTTTGTCAGCAAAGATTTTGCCTCTTCAGTGACTTGAGAGGAGTAAGTAAAGGGTTGAATGCTGAGGTACTACTTATCCAGGCTTCCTCTTTGCTCTGAGACTTGCTCCTCCCACAGCAGAAGCATGGGCTGTTGAGTTGGAAGGTTCTGAATTGTTTGTTGCCCTTAGGACCACACATCTGCCAGGGAAGATTGCCTTAGGTGATGTATGAGCAATAAAAGACCTGGTCCATCATCCCTGAGTTATTTTGTCCTTGGTTCCCATTTGGCTACTTACCAGGGTTTTCTGAAGCCACTGATCAGGGCTGGGGCACTGAATGCAGAAAAGAATTCCTATGGGAATATGTAAAGAGTGCAGTTCTTATAGGTAAGAACTTATGGTACTTCATGGACTGGATTATTGAGGATGTTAACACTGCTTGAGTGAAAGATTTTCTGCTTGTGCAGGATTGTTCTAGAGCCATTGGGCTCAGTTTAGCTCTGCATGGTTGAGTAATGCCTGGAACACTTTAGATTCTCTGAGTCTGATTGTTTCTAAAAGACCCCAGAAAGAGACTTGTAGTCAGACACTAAATAAAACCATTATTTACCATTAATTAGCAAGCCGCTTCAGACTGTTATTGCCTGTAAACACATCCACTTGTTCTCTCTTCCCAGAACCTTTCCCTGGTTTGACCTGACAGCTGCACAACTGAGTCTCCCTTCAGCCAGCTGCTGGAATTGAGTAAGCTCATCCAGAGACATCTTGCTTTACTATACCAGGCATCCTTTGGAGACTGGCCTACAAAGCAAGGTGGGCCTATAGGCACCAAGACATCTCTTCCTTCAGCTGTAGTGGAGACTGGTGTGAGGGATGAGAGGACCTCATTCTCCACAGCTGCTTCCAACATTTTCTCAGAAAGTCCAGAGGAAACAACTATTATTCTAAATCCTCATAAACTCTAACAAAGCCCAGAGAAGAATGATTTGCTGAGATGTCATCCCAGCCTCCTCCCAGGACTGAGGAGTGCAAGAACCAGCACTGTTCACTCTTGGCCTCTCCAGCCAAATACCCAATGTACGCAATTGCTTCAACAAGTTTCACTCTCTAGACTGTCTAGCAAGCTTGCTCCTCTCTAACTGCCCGAGCCTTGCCTTATTTTGGTCTGAATTTGCTTATTACATAGTCATCTTGGCCTACAAACTGCTTCCATTTCACTGAGTTTATGTTGCAGTTTCACTAGAAAACTGAATTACAAAACCATACTACAGTTATTCTGTAGTGGCTACAGTTTTGGTGCAAAGAACTATACAGGATTGGGGCTAGTCTTTTTATTTAGTTTTCCATGGGGCATCTTGATGTCAGACAAAATAATAATGATGTAGTCTTTCTGTTGAGACAGGCTTTCATCAGCACTTATTCATGCTTCCTTGCTGGTGATAATGTGCTCCACCACCACCGACTGCATGACATTTCCTTCAAGGAAAAAAAGGTAACTGGATATTTTGTCCAAATCCACCCAGGACAATGCATTTTTTTATTTCCTAAATCTGCTAGTTCAGTTTACAGTATTCTCTTGTATTTCTTGCCATCATCTATCATATGTTTCAGTACAGTTTGCTATGATAAACCGCTGCCTGGTTTTGCCTCACAGGAAATCATTTCTGTGGTGAGGCCAAGGATTAGTTATTCATGTTGTAACTAGGCCCCTCACTTAATTACGGTCACTGACAGCAGCTGTCACCACACCTGTATACCAGTTATTGTGTGTGCCATTTATCTTACATCTGGGCTTTACAGGGAGCCCAGTCGGCAGACACTAAAGCCTGGGAGCTGCCAGGAAGTTGTTATCAATCACTAGTAATTCAAATATGTCTATGATTTTTTTTATCATTTTAATCAACTCTGAAGCAGAAGTGAAAGACAGACAGTGGTACAGTCTGGTTTACAGCTTCTGCTTCACTTAGTTCCTGGAAGCAAACAAAAGATTGCAGAAAAGAGCAGATGTGGGGCTGTGTTTGCTGCCATCAAAATGATAAGAGCTGCAATTGCCTTAAATCAGGAGAAGGTAGAACTGTACTTCCTTGGACAAACTTCCAAGTAATTATGGTGTATTCTGCTGGGCTTCTTACAAGCGTGGAAGTGCAGTGTGAGTCTCTAATCCTGCCTCTGGGTGCCCCGCGATGCAGGGACAGCATCTGTTTCCACTCCAGTCTGGGCTTGTTGCAAAGGAGTTGTAGCATAGGGCTCCAGTCCTGCTTCTTTGATAAACTGTGAGAAAGTAAGGGCATCTGCTTTCTTTCCTGACCAGGACTTTCGCTCCAGGAAGAGACCCATGTTGTCTCTGTATGGGAGGGCAATGGATCTGCTGCAGATAGGCTCCTCAATCCCTAGCAACTCTCGCACGTGTCGTGAAATCTCCTGAAATAGAAGACAAAATACCAGAAATCCTCATTTCACAGGACAACAGATAATACCATTCATTCTGTGTCAGAGCAGCAGGAAAAAGAATAGAATTTCTGATTTTTGGAACAGTTTCACACTTGAAGTTGCAACTCTAGAGGAATCTGAACCCATGAGCCCTGTGTAACATTGTAAAGCAAAGCACATTTCTCCAGATTTACTGTGGGGAATGGCATTGCAGCTGGTCTCTTCATGGCACATATAGCTCTGTTTTCCTCTTTGCACTTGCAGAACAAACAAGTTACGGGTGAATGAGCTGGAGTCTATTCTGTGTAATGCAAAAACACTGCTGTTTGTTAAGTAAGTTATACTGTCAACAACAGAGTCTACGCAGAAGAGGTGTAAAAACTAATTAAGCCACTAAGCCATGCTGCTCAGTAAGAAAATGATGGGCGGCTGAGCTGTCTGAGCCAGCTGGACCTAGAACTGTCAGTGAACAAAGCCTTGCCATTATTTTTTAAGTCACTTCTGAGAATATAACCTTCAACTGAAGCCTTGAAATACAATTCACAAAGTTTTCCACAGCTTTTGCTCAAAACCTTTTCCCAACTTTGGCTTGACTCTGAAGAGCAGTACCCTACTTTGTGTGACATCAGTAGAATACCGGACTAGTATCTTTAGTGGTTTTGATATTTAAAATACCAGTAGAGTGGAATTAAAGCCAGCAGAGTGACTTCACTTGTCCATGCTGCACAGCCTCCACATACTTCACTGGGCAGCTTTCTACCAAACTGACATTTCCCCTAATTGCTAAAAATTTCTATCTCACTGAGCTGATGCTATCATATTCATTTCTATAGTAACTATCTTAGTTTCAACTGTTTATAGACTTCCATTGATATTTCTTGTCTGGAAGCTGATGTGCCCAGGATTATGACCTTAACTTTGCACCTGGTCTAATACACACCTCCTGAACGACCCACAGGGCCACATACTGCTCAGAGCTCTGCACACATGGATTCTATTGAAGTTCTGTAAAACAGGAATAACTAGCAGGAAAGGACACGATCTTTGAGAACATTCAAGTTCCACTGAAGTCTGTGAGATATTCCCAATTCACTTGTAAGCTTTGGAAAACATTACAGAGAGCCTCATTCCAAGCTTTCTGTAGTACCCTAGTCCTGTGGAATTTCAGTTTCTACAGGAGGAAGAATGGGTTACAGCTGATATCCCTAACTCACGACTTAGTGTTTCTCAGCAGTTAAATTACCACCGTGCATAATCCCTGAATCCCAAATGGAGGCTGAGACCTTACAAAGCCTATAAAATTCTTGCTATCTTTGGTAAGTGCAAATGACTAAAAAAGGCCGTCTCTGCTTGTCTAGAAATGCTCTCGAAAGGCTCCTGTCTGAAAAACTAAGGATTAGAATTTGATGCCTTCTCGTCTAACCAACAAAGTCATGGCACTAGACAAGGTTTTTGGTGGCATATTTTGTTTCAACAGTTGATTGTGCAGCCAGACAGAACGATGGGGAAATAGCTTTTTGGTGCTCTAGAATAGAACAAATAGTGTTCATACTCTAGTCATTGGAGCATAAAGATTTTTCTCTCTTCCTGGTTATTTGAACTTCTACCTTGTGTTCTCTGGGGAAAACAACTTCAAATTATGACGTGAAACAAATGCTTTGGGTCTGTAAATGCAGGCCTGAGTCCCTCTGTGGTTTCCATTAGGAAGGGGAAGGAAGATAATGAAATTTAAGTCAACTTGCTTATTTTTGAACCTTCAGGAAGCTTTGGAAGGCCACACTGTACCCCAAACTCCAGCCTACCAGTTAGCTTAACTGTCAGTGCTTGTTTGAAAGGAAAATCACTAGACAATTACATGTTTATAAAACAAGGAAGAGACAGATGCTGTTTGTGTTCAGGGAAGTGTAAAACAAGGAAGTAATAACATGTTGCCCTTCTGTTGCTTGAGATTGGTGGCTCAGTCGCTGCAGGTTAAATCTGACTAGATTTTTAAAAGTTCTACAAGTAAATGAAAAATTACTAGAAAAAAATTAATAAATCTGAGGGATATTCAAGAAAGGCACATGCATCTGGCTAAGCAATTTCATGGGGCAAAAGGAGCATCATAGGCTTAACGAAAACCCAAGCACTTCTGATGCACGTTAGGTGTCCCAGAGAGGAAGCCTGCAATCTCCGGCCAGCTAAGGATTTATACCTGAAAAGACTCAAGAGATACAAGTGTTTGGGTGAACGAATTCAGCTGTCTAGTTTAAGGCTCGCTCTCTGAGTAAGCCATCTGCCTCGGTGGACAGGCTGTAGCCTAGCTTGCTTGCAAGCAGAGAGGGTCAGAGCTGGGCTCCGAGGGCGTGAGAAGGGGGCTCCGGGACGCGCGGCCGCCCGCACCTGCATGTGGCCGAAGTCCCTGACGCCTATGGCGGGCAGGTTGGAGCAG